CCTTAATATATTATTTTAATTAAGAGCAATTCTAACTAGATAAAAATAAAGTCACTGTTATGGAGAGGGAGGAGTGTCATGGTAGAATGTTTCCATTGTATACGGTATGCTTGTAGAAGACAGAGGTCATAGAAATAGGTTCATACCCACAACTATACTGAGTACACCTTCGGCTGGCTGTTATTTCACCACTACAGGAAACCAGGCGGACACTGACTCAAAGCCTTATCTATGAATGTAACCTAGAATAGGCATAACGCAACCCTACTTTCTGAGCATACCCACTATCAGATTTGTCAACAGAATAAAGGGTAATTTCATCATCTCCTGTGTCGGTCACTCACCTCAGAACATATATTTCAACATCAGGGGGTAACAGATTGGCTCTGTTGAGTGGATTTACATATACCTGTCTTGATAAACATGTTGATGGGGTCCATAGGATGATGGGGACAATTCAAGTATCAGACATGTACCTACAGGTGTTAACAGTCACAAACTTTTTTTAGCTTTATCAGCAAATTACATCACATTAAGTTATCATTGGGCTTTATGTATACATCAGATACACATGTTGTGAGTTGAAATTTTTTCATTAATGACCGCTTATACATCATACAAATTCTGAACATTTCTGATAAAAGACATTGATATTTGATATACTTAAAAGCAGATTTGATTGAACTCCTTAATAGGCTTGAATATTTAATTTTCTCTGAATCCATAAGTAAATATCGGTTTAGATTTGAATTTTCCATTAAGTTTTAATTTCTCCTGATAAAATTGAATCTATCCATATAATATACAGAGATACACATCTGATAGCAATATAGGTGTTCTGGTATCAGTCTCAGTTTTCTAATACATAACATTAAAAATAGTCAGTTGATTAATTAATGATTATAATTAGATTCAAATTAGAATTTAATGGGTCATTCAGCCAATTAAGAAATTAATGAAGCTGATTAGTTAGTGGTATATATTTGACTTACTATTCTGTTTAATACTTAAGGTTTAAAACTTCTGTTAAACGACCCTAAATGTTAAAAGAAGTGTAAGTCTAAAGAGTACATTTTATCTTTGATGAATCTAATACAGTCAAACTTTCAATGTTTCCAAGTTTGAGGGACTAACAAAAAATCTTTGATTCTTTGAGACTTAGAATGATTCATGGTGGGTTATATCAATGTTTTCATGTTCATGGCTTTAGCTGACAACCCACTATTTCTACCTGAAAAATCACAACAAATACCAAAACACAAATTTAAATTTAAAAGATGTATTTCTATCTTATAGCAAACATTTTTGTTCATGAAAAAGTAAAAACATAACTTTACTGAATAGAATAAATGAGAAATAGACACATGCTTTTACATTCTTGCCTTCATGTCACACAGTATATGTATTTTATGGATTTATTTTAAATGTAGCAACACACAGTCTTCACATAACAGTAACTATTTTAAGACTGATACATAAAGTTATAGGTACTGATGAGTTTTTCTAAAAGCAAATTAAAATCACAATGTTTTCTGTCCGGAAACGACAGCACTGACAACACACATTCTTGGTTGTAGATATTACAAGAGTGTTTGCCGATATTCCGACAACGGCTAGTCTGAATCAATAGGAAAACACATGATTGGAAAATAAATTCTGTGTTTCTCATGCTTTTTTGCTTAACACTGAAAAAATGGCACTTTGGGAATGAGTTTAATCATTGTTCAAGTGATAGGATTTCCTCTGATTGTTTTCACAATTCTATAAATTAGACCTGACTTTATGCCATTACTGCAATGGCAGCAGTGAACATCATACAACGTCCCATTATCTTTGATAAGATATCATGGCTTGTAAGTAAGCAATAAAACTTTAATCTGTGTCAAGTCATACAGATGCTTTTCTACAATACTGTATACAAAGAGGCTTCTTAAGGTTTTCCTACAGTACTGTATACAAAGATTGTCCTTATACAGAGGTTTTCTACAATACTGTATACAAAGATTGTCCTTATACAGAGGTTTTCTACAATACTGTATATGAAAGATACTGTGGTTTTTCTACAATACTGTATATGAGAGGTTTTCTGTGGTTTTCTACAATACTGTATATGAAGATTGTTATACTGTGGTTTTTCTACAATACTGTATATGAAGAGTTACTGTGGTTTTCTACAATACTGTATATGAAGAGGGTCCTTATACTGTGGTTTTCTATACTGTGGTTTTTTCTACAATACTGTATACAAAGATTGTCCTTATACAGAGGTTTTCTACAATACTGTATACAAAGATTGTCCTTATACAGAGGTTTTCTACAATACTGTATACAAAGATTGTCCTTATACAGTGGTTTTCTACAATACTGTATATGAAGAAGGTTCTTATACTGTGGTTTTTCTACAATACTGTATATGAAGAGGGTCCTTATACTGTGGTTTTCTACAATACTGTATATGAAGAGGGTCCTTATACAGAGGTTTTCTACAATACTGTATACAAAGATTGTCCTTATACAGAGGTTTTCTACAATACTGTATACAAAGATTGTCCTTATACAGTGGTTTTCTACAATACTGTATATGAAGAAGGTTCTTATACTGTGGTTTTTCTACAATACTGTATATGAAGAGGGTCCTTATACTGTGGTTTTCTACAATACTGTATATGAAGAAGGTTCTTATACTGTGGTTTTTCTACAATACTGTATATGAAGAGGGTCCTTATACTGTGGTTTTCTACAATACTGTATATGAAGAGGGTCCTTATACTGTGGTTTTCTACAATACTGTATATGAAGAGGGTCCTTATACAGAGGTTTTCTACAATACTGTATACAAAGATTGTCCTTATACAGAGGTTTTCTACAATACTGTATACAAAGATTGTCCTTATACAGAGGTTTTCTACAATACTGTATACAAAGATTGTCCTTATACAGTGGTTTTCTACAATACTGTATATGAAGAGGGCCCTTATACAGAGGTTTTCTACAATACTGTATACAAAGATTGTCCTTATACAGAGGTTTTCTACAATACTGTATACAAAGATTGTCCTTATACAGTGGTTTTCTACAATACTGTATACAAAGATTGTCCTTATACAGTGGTTTTCTACAATACTGTATATGAAGAAGGTTCTTATACTGTGGTTTTTCTACAATACTGTATACAAAGATTGTCCTTATACAGAGGTTTTCTACAATACTGTATACAAAGATTGTCCTTATACAGTGGTTTTCTACAATACTGTATACAAAGATTGTCCTTATACAGTGGTTTTCTACAATACTGTATATGAAGAAGGTTCTTATACTGTGGTTTTTCTACAATACTGTATATGAAGAGGGTCCTTATACAGTGGTTTTCTACAATACTGTATATGAAGAGGGCCCTTATACAGAGGTTTTCTACAATACTGTATACAAAGATTGTCCTTATACAGAGGTTTTCTACAATACTGTATACAAAGATTGTCCTTATACAGTGGTTTTCTACAATACTGTATATGAAGAAGGTTCTTATACTGTGGTTTTTCTACAATACTGTATATGAAGAGGGTCCTTATACTGTGGTTTTCTACAATACTGTATATGAAGAGGGTCCTTATACAGAGGTTTTCTACAATACTGTATACAAAGATTGTCCTTATACAGAGGTTTTCTACAATACTGTATACAAAGATTGTCCTTATACAGTGGTTTTCTACAATACTGTATATGAAGAAGGTTCTTATACTGTGGTTTTTCTACAATACTGTATATGAAGAGGGTCCTTATACTGTGGTTTTCTACAATACTGTATATGAAGAAGGTTCTTATACTGTGGTTTTTCTACAATACTGTATATGAAGAGGGTCCTTATACTGTGGTTTTCTACAATACTGTATATGAAGAGGGTCCTTATACTGTGGTTTTCTACAATACTGTATATGAAGAGGGTCCTTATACAGAGGTTTTCTACAATACTGTATACAAAGATTGTCCTTATACAGAGGTTTTCTACAATACTGTATATGAAGAAGGTTCTTATACTGTGGTTTTTCTACAATACTGTATATGAAGAGGGTCCTTATACTGTGGTTTTCTACAATACTGTATATGAAGAGGGCCCTTATACAGAGGTTTTCTACAATACTGTATACAAAGATTGTCCTTATACAGAGGTTTTCTACAATGCTGTATATGAAGAAGGTTCTTATACTGTGGTTTTTCTACAATACTGTATATGAAGACAGAGGGTTTTCTACAATACTGTATATGAAGAGGGCCCTTATACAGAGGTTTTCTACAATACTGTATACAAAGATTGTCCTTATACAGAGGTTTTCTACAATACTGTATATGAAGAGGGCCCTTATACTGTGGTTTTCTACAATACTGTATATGAAGAGGGTCCTTATACTGTGGTTTTCTACAATACTGTATACAAAGATTGTCCTTATACAGTGGTTTTCTACAATACTGTATATGAAGAGGGTCCTTATACAGAGGTTTTCTACAATACTGTATATGAAGAGGGTCCTTATACTGTGGTTTTCTACAATACTGTATATGAAGAGGGTCCTTATACTGTGGTTTTCTACAATACTGTATATGAAGAGGGTCCTTATACTGTGGTTTTCTACAATACTGTATACAAAGATTGTCCTTATACTGTGGTTTTTCTACAATACTGTATATGAAGAGGGTCCTTATACAGTGGTTTTCTACAATACTGTATACAAAGATTGTCCTTATACAGAGGTTTTCTACAATACTGTATATGAAGAGGGTCCTTATACTGTGGTTTTCTACAATACTGTATACAAAGATTGTCCTTATACAGAGGTTTTCCGACAATAATATATATGAAGAGGGTTCTTATACAGAGGTTTAATACAATATAAAGGAATGATAAGGATAGTTCTTGTACTACCTATTGATGAATACAGATAATATTTCACAAACAGGAAAATGCTAAAGACATATATGATTATCACATGAATTTGATGCTTCAGAGAATGGGAGAAGGAACTAAAGAAGCAAGAGACTGGAGGGAAGCCGAGTCTGCTGAGGGCGCTTATTCGTATGTTTGGTTTCCAGTATATGCTCTTGGGAATCATTGTATTTATAGAGGTCAGTATATTTCTATTTTTTTGTTTCAAGATATTTTATTGTCAATATATATACATTACAATAATTGAATTTACAAAAGAAAGTACAGTATATATGTATTAACAAAAGGAATTGGACAACAGGCCTATAGCCTATATAAGAGGTCAGTATATGCCTTTTCCTATTTATCACTAGCAGGACTTCCTGTTCACTGTTAATTTTGATAAGATCTAAGTGAAATATAACTTTTTTCTTGTATTTAGAAGGTGAAATTTGTGAACATTATCAAGTAGACATGTCTTCTCAATTCAAAAGGTCAAGAGATTGATTAATTATCTTTGGATGAGGAGTTGAGTGTTAGAGGTTGTGGGGTGGGTAGTGATAGGAAATTGGTTAAAAAAAATCAAAGAAGAAAATATAAACATGTCAACATTCAATTCAAATTCAATAAAACTAGAGCAAAATAATGAAAAAAAGAGAGAGATTTAAACGGAGACTCCTGAAAAAGTAGAAAAAGTACAAAGAGAATAAGACTAAGTGTTTCAGTAGAGTAAGCATCTTCTGCTTCATCAACAATACCCACCACATAAGTCTTGGTCAATCCAAGAAATTAATATCGCATTCCCAAATGAGAACAAGGTACACAACAACAGAACCAACAGGCAAACTAACAGGAATCAAATGTGTCCAGCTTCATATCTCACCAAGAAATAGAATATTTATCAATGAGATCACTATGGCAATTGTTAAACTTCATCAACCTGCATCTTTTGAAACCCTGTGTTACCAATTTGTCCGTCAGTTGATGACTTCTTGCACAAAAATTGTCATTATTGGAACAGGCCCTTGAACATCGAATCAACCTCAACATGTAAACACCATATTTGGGGGATCCAGGAATGTTGCTATTCAGAAATAGAAAATTCACAATAGAGAAATTGAAATCATGCTTATCATATAGCTTTGTGGAAAGCTGTTCATGTTGATTTCATTGAAGGAAAAATCTTGATAAGTGGCTGATGTAGAAGAGTCTGTTGAGTCCTTCATTTCCAATGCTGTTTGGTATATATGATGGATGTAGCCAATACATCGATCAATAAATTTCTTAATATTTAAAGACAAAATGTCATCAATATATCCGACAGTATAAACCAATAATAGATTAATGATTAAAATTAGATATAAATATTCCAATGTCGTTAATCCATTACATAATTGACAGACTGCATGTTCAATATTCATAGAAAATAAATGCATTCTTCATTGCTGTCATAGGGTTTTTTGTAACATAAACTGAAATACCTCCCATACCTAAAATTCCATAAGAATAAATGTTATTATTAATTGGTGTCTTATTAATGTAATAAGAATTTTTTTTTGCGACTGATTGTCAATATGTCTTATATGTACCAATTAACTTTTATGATATGGTTTGTCCTTATATGTACCAATGAACTTTTATGATATGGTTTGTCCTAAATCTTGTATTTATGATTACTTCAGAATCATGTTAGACTCTTTCACTGGTGTGTGAACTTATACCTGTCTTTACAATCACATGCATATGTGCATGTGCCCTTGAGGACTTTGTCAAAGTCGAATGTGATTGAATGTACAGTGTATTGATTAGATTTACTTTTGTATCTGATTTGTATAAATTCAACAATCTTCAGTGTCAAGGTATCTGTTCTGTAGGAAGGAACAAAGGTAGTCCAACCATTACTGCTCGGCCAGCTGATACGTTACTTTACACCTGAATCAACAGTCAGTGAAAGAGATGCCTACCTTTATGCCATGGGGGTCAGTCTGTGTGCCATTGTGCTGGCCGTATCTCATCATCCCTACTTTTTCGGGGTACAGAGGATTGGAATGCAGATGAGAGTTGCCTGTTGTTCTCTGTTGTATAGGAAGGTAGGTGAAAAGAAGTTTACTTTCTACTACTGCTTATGAGCTGAAGATGTATATGAAATATAACTTCTCTTTTTGTAATCTGATTTCTAAACGTAGATTATCATTCTGTGCATTATTTGTGTCTTCTTTTGAAAAGTCTAATTTGGAAGTAGTTGAAAATATCATACTAGAATATTCATCACAATTAACAGTGTTTTTTTTTTTCTTTAGACTTTATTGAAATTTTAGAAATATACAGATTTATTAAAACCTTTGTAAACTGACACTGGTACAAGATCATATCAACCTTTCTAATCTGACAACTTGTACTTCAAATAATTGATCAGGTTCATTTGCCTTATTTGACATCATCATATTCATAAACATGTTTGACCCCCACTCCATGGAACAGAAATGTTTATCATATTTACCGGTCTACCTTGTTACTCTCTGGTCTTATCTGACACCCCAATGGACAAAATATGTTGATTATGAAAAAATGATTTACCTGTCTAATCTGACACCTGTGGGACAAAATATGTTGATCATATTGTAATGTCTAATCAGATATCGCCAGGGATAAACCATTGTTGATTGTGTTTACCTGTCTGACATCCCATGAGACAAATTGTGTTTATCATATTTGTCTAATCTGAAACCCCATGAGACAAAATATGTCAATTATACTTACCTGTCTAATCTGACACCCCATGAGACAAAATATGTCAATTATACTTACCTGTCTAATCTGACACCCCATGAGACAAAATATGTCAATTATATTTACCTGTCTAATCTGACACCCCATGAGACAAAATTTTATTCATACTTACCTGTCTAATCTGACACCCCATGAGACAAAATATGTCAATTATATTTACCTGTCTAATCTGACACCCCATGAGACAAAATTTTATTCATACTTACCTGTCTAATCTGACACCCCATGAGACAAAATATGTCAATTATATTTACCTGTCTAATCTGACACCCCATGAGACAAAATGTTATTCATACTTACCTGTCTAATCTGACACCCCATGAGACAAAAAATATGTTACTTATATTTACCTGTCTAATCTGACACCCCATGAGACAAAATTTTATTCATACTTACCTGTCTAATCTGAAACCCCAGGAGACAAAATATGTCAATTATATTTACCTTTCTAATCTGACACCCCATGAGACAAAATATGTCAATTATATTTACCTTTCTAATCTGACACCCCATGAGACAAAATATGTCAATTATACTTACCTGTCTAATCTGACACCCCATGAGACAAAATATGTCAATTATACTTACCTGTCTAATCTGACACCCCATGAGACAAAATATGTCAATTATATTTACCTGTCTAATCTGACACCCCATGAGACAAAATTTTATTCATACTTACCTGTCTAATCTGACACCCCATGAGACAAAATATGTCAATTATATTTACCTGTCTAATCTGACACCCCATGAGACAAAATTTTATTCATACTTACCTGTCTAATCTGACACCCCATGAGACAAAATATGTCAATTATATTTACCTGTCTAATCTGACACCCCATGAGACAAAAAATATGTTACTTATATTTACCTGTCTAATCTGACACCCCATGAGACAAAATTTTATTCATACTTACCTGTCTAATCTGAAACCCCAGGAGACAAAATATGTCAATTATATTTACCTTTCTAATCTGACACCCCATGAGACAAAATGTTATTCATACTTACCTGTCTAACTGACAACCCATGAGACAAAATGTGTTAATTATATTTACCTTTCTAATCTGACACCAGAAGGGACTAACTTTGTTGATCATATTTACCTGTTTAAATCAACACCCCACTGGACACAATATGTTGATTATATTTATTTGTCTAATCTGAAACCCAGTGTGATTCAACATTGTTGTTCTAGTGAATGTGGCAAACCGAGACAATTAGATATATAACTTCATTTTTTCAGTCACTGCGATTAAGTAACACAGCCTTGGGTCAAACCACAACTGGTCAGATTGTCAATCTAATGTCAAATGATGTGAACAGGTTTGATACAGTAAGTATACAAAAGTCTTATATCTGTCTACTGAATAAGTTGTATTTATCCTAATCAAAATTTTACCTCATTTCAAATTAATTAACTTTAAGCATATATCCTAATTTGTGGAGAGTTTCTCAGATGTCCAGATCAAATGGGGTAAAAAAATAAGTATTATTTTCATATGATCAAGTGAGTTACAATTTCCATATCATTCCTGAAGTTTTCTTAGCTGTGATGTCATGAGGTAATCTGTGTGGTTACTGTTTAAGATCATTACAATTACACAAGTTCTTGATTATAAATCTAAATTCAATGAATTAACAAAAACAAGATCAAACTGCTGTTAACAAATATTATTTTGTTTTAATTTTCTGGAACAAATTTCACTAAATTCACAGAAATTAATTTCACATGTTGGAGCAGGGAAAGAAAGCGTGGATTTTCATAGTTGAACTCTGTTGATTAAAGCTACCTGACTACAGTATATCTTGAATATTGATGTACATTACATACAGCTATAGAACGTTTTGTTAACATTTTGTTTATATTATGTCAGGGCAGTTTTTTTTCTTTGAGTGTTTTGATTATGGAAAGTTCATGTGTGGTCTTAAGGATCACTGCTGGGTTTGAATTTAGTGACTGGGTCAGCACTGTGTTTGATGCCATGCAAGTTTTAAATGACTGTGATTGTCCTTCACATTGCTAAATTAAGAGATGCATGTGACATATAATTGATTTGTAGGTTAATTATAGACTGATGATTTCATCGAAGTGTTGTACTGTATTTGCTGGTAACGAAGTGTCATAAGTTGTTGAACAGGCTGACTGACCCTCACATGCCTGATGGCAGGCTAATCTGAAATGAAGGCTGTGCACATGAAATATTACAATGGTTGTTCAGGCTTTGCAAAAGTAAAGTGCCACAATTTCATATTACTAAAATCAAGAAAAATCAGAAGCTATGTAAGAATGTTGGTTTACAGTGTCTTCTCTTAGTATTGTTTGGTCATAAAGACAATTCATCTTAAGTTTGATGTAACTTTGTGTGCGTAGTAAACTTCATGTTCATTTCTCTGTAGATGCATCATTTTTTTATCGATTAAATATGGCCGGTTAAACGGAAGTTAAAAATATGTATATGATTGTAATGGCCAGATAAAATACTTTCAGAAAAGTTAATTAGTACTTGTTTCAACTGATACATCACTGAGGACAAACAAGATCAAGGTTACTGCTTAAATATGAGAAAATTAAATTCTGAAAAGTAGAATTTTTTTTGGTTTTGAGGTAACTTAAAGATGCTAATATCCATCAAAACTGTTTATGTAAAAGTTTATTTGCTAGTCACATTAAGAAAGCTTTGATTAACTTGGAAAATCACAATCATACATTTGCTCTTTAAATAAAGATTTCACTGTTAGTTTCTCCTAGGTTTTTAAACGACAGTTGATCTTGGATAATTTAGTCATATAGTTTTTCTCTTCCATATCAAGGCAAGTCTTCTTAAAGTGAAAAACATTAACATTTGGTCACCAAAAAGAAATTATCCAGTAAATCTATTTATATACCAATTTTACCTAGATATTGTCATGGCAACAGTGTCAAGATTGGTTGAATCTTTTTAGAGGATCTTGATCCAAATTGGCAAAATCATTTCAATTTTTCAAACACTATTCTTTTTGAGTGTTATTAACTTCATAATCCTTCATTCCTGTGTTATACCAACAAGGATGTGGATGATTATTTCTCTCATATCATGCTGCCTTGCATATGTGTATCCCACCCTCCATGTCAACCCTTGTGTTACACAAGGAAGTCTTACAATATAATAAAATCATGGATATATTTGTTAAGGTGGAGAGAACAGTAAATCTTACTTTAATTTTAATGGCCATATAGTCCAAACTTATAGAGAGGTTTACCTTTGATTAAACCTGACCTTGTCCTGACCTTCAGGCAGTTTTATTCCTCCACTTCCTATTGGTCGGTCCGTGTCAGGTGATCGCAGTCCTGATCATTCTTTGGCTACTCATGGGACCCTCTTCGCTTGGAGGAATCAGCCTCCTCGTCCTGCTCATTCCTGCACAAAGCTTAATGGGCAAATTGTTTACTAAGTTGAGGTAAAAATTTAGAAATGATTTCTTTGTTTTTCAAAATTTTAGGGACTAACACAAAATTAACCAACAATTGATCAATCATAGAAACATATTATAGAAATGTTTTTGAAGAATAGACTACTATCAGTGCAAGGATGTCTATTATTACAATCTGATCAGAACACAGATAATCAGATATGAAGAATAAAAGAAAGTGTATACGTGATTATAACTCTACTTTAGCTATAGAATTGGGTTGTAAAATCATTAAGGCTTAAAAACAAAATCATATATTACCACATGGTTATTGGGAAAATATATTTCATTATTAACTTGCTTGGAAAGTTTTCAACAAGACTCTGCTTGACTTTGACTCTATTACAAGATTTTAAGAAACACTGAGTGACAAAACATTAATTCTATGTAATATTAGATTAGATGTAAAATCCAAGTCAGCATGTAAAGATCCAAGTAAATCTAGATGTTATTTAGGTGCAGAGTATCAATCACAGCAGCTTCGGAGTAGCGTTTTGATGTCTATTATCAACCGTCTACCGGTTTCGCCTCTCCTGGCTTCATCAGGACGACAATGTTTTAGGCCTAAAGTACTATGATTCCAGTACCCTATTCTATAAATACTCTACACTCACATTGTGACGTATTATCGCATACGCGATAAATCACATACTTATTGCCAATTAAATTCAAATTACTGTATCTATAGAATGCAAATTTTAAGGCGGTTTTAAAGTTTATGATGTACCAATCTCACATTCTCATAGCATAACGTCTATATACTTCTTACTGCCATTCGTCAAGGCATACAGTAGACATAGATTCTGATATATGATTGAATGTTTTCATTATCACATCCTAGAAATTGAAGTTTATAGAAAAACCATGGACCATTTAATGACTTCTATGAAAGCATTTAGTAAATACGTGAAAGTTTGAACAGATAGAAAATAAAAACTTTTATAATATCTAAAGTAAGCATCAATTCTGATACAATTAAGACAGTGTGTATAGTATGTACTTATATATTATACAATCATTAATTTTCTTAAAGAACTTTTTTATATCCTGGGTACATTTCTTCCATAAATTATTATGTCCACAAAGTACTAAAGTAATATAAGTGTATTATTGAACTACATTCATCCACAAAATCCTGTGCACATGAAATATATATAAATTTTAAATCAAGAAAATTAATTAGGTCCCATGAAATATATGATTTCACAGTATATAAATACATGTTGTGTATATCATATTAATCTATGATTGATCAGCTGTTATATTATCACTTTTATTTGTGTTATAAATGCCATCACCTATGTTTGTTCATCCTTAACAAATTAATACACTCATCAGCAGTCTTTCAAAGTTTGTAAACATGTTCTTTTTAGCTTATCACTAATGGCAACATCAGTATAAGTATTTACAATGTAATAGATGAGATCATGTGCTCTTTCTGCAATTCTCAACATAGAAATACAAAGAGGATATTTATATCACTAATGATTGATAAGCATATTGTAAGATAATTGCAGAAAACAGTTTTATCATTATTGTGTCTAATTCAACCTGTTGTCTGTATTTTTGTTAACATGGAGATCATTGGAGTATGTAAATATATTTCGATGCTCAATCTGTTTGTGATAAAATATCCTTTTCAAAGTTGAATTTTGACTGAACCTTCCAATCATTGTCATACAACTGCGCAGTTGCATCATTACAGCATCAACTTTTCTCTTTAAACAACTTCTTCTCTATAACCAGCAGACAAAATTCCATGATATTTTGCATATGGGTAGCTAGGATGAAGCCTGACAAAGTTTGTGAAAACAAATGACCTTGACTAATCCATGTTCAAGGTCACAGTGATCAGATTTGTTAAATATATTTAAACAACTTCTTCTGACAAACCAAATGGCACAGAAGCATGGTATTTGGTTCATAGGATGGAACTTGATAAAGTTTGTGAAAAGAAACGACCTTAATCCATTCTCAAGATCACAACTTCTTCTGACTAGCCAAAAGGCACAGAAACATGTTATTTTGGTCATAGGTTTCTTAGGATGAAGCCCTTCAAAGTTTGTGAAAATAAATTACCTTGATCCATGTCCAAGGTCACAGGGGTCATATTTGTTAAAACATTTAAACAACTGCTTTTGACCAGAAGCACAGTATTTGGCTTATAAATTCCTGGGATGAGAAGGTCAGATGGATTACACGGATTCATTTTTTGAAACCTTTAAAAGATTTCTTCTGGTTAACCAAAGGTCTGAAAAGCATATTGCTGGAAAGGTGTTTCAAGGTCAAAGTCCAACAAATTTCGAGAAAAAAAGAACTAGCATTTAGTAAAAATCCAGGTTATATCTGTCACGGTTGAGCGTTGAGTATCAGAAGCTCTTTGTTGTGGAAATTGGTTAAAATTGATTGGGGGTGCCCATTTTGAATACCAGTGGTGTATATGTCAATATATTTATGCTGTTAACACCAATTCTATGTCTGATGAACATTGAATACCATGTGAGCGATGCAAGGCCCAGTGGGCCTTTTGCTTATTTTCGCTTGTTCACTAAAAATCACAGCAAAAATGCATGTCTTTAGTTGCACATTGAATGTTTTGTGTCAGCCAATCTGTAAATAATTGGCCAGACTTTAATCTGTTAGTTATATCATAAATATGATCATGATAATTGTCTTTATGTTGAGTCATCTTTTTTTAATTGTGAATAATAGTTATATTTTAAGTGGCAAAAATTGTGGAAAGATTCTTAACCTGTCATCAAATGTTAATAGCTGTTTAAACTGTCTATTGTCTGTGAGTTGTGGTCTGACCTGTTGCTTTGAGAAGACAAAAAGAAAAAAATGTGAGAGCAAGGGTCAATCTATCAAGCCAATAAAGATGATACAGTGTCAGGGTTGTGAGCCGCCTTGGATTATAATTGGTCAGGATCTCTGCCCTCATTGATTATTATTGGTCAGGATCACGGCCCTCTTGGATTATAATTGGTCGGGATCTCTGCCCTCTTGGATTATTATTGGTCAGGATCTCTGCCCTCATTGATTATTATTGGTCAGGATCTCTGCCCTCATTGATTATAATTGGTCAGGATCTCGGCCCTCTTGGATTATAATTGGTCAGGATCACGGCCCTCTTGGATTATAATTGGTCAGGATCTCTGCCCTCATTGATTATAATTGGTCAGGATCTCGGCCCTCTTGGATTATAATTGGTCAGGATCACGGCCCTCTTGGATTATAATTGGTCAGGATCTCTGCCCTCATTGATTATAATTGGTCAGGATCTCGGCCCTCTTGGATTATAATTGGTCAGGATCACGGCCCTCTTGAATTATAATTGGTCAGGATCTCTACCCTCATTGATTATAATTGGTCAGGATCTCGGCCCTCTTGGATTATAATTGGTCAGGATCACGGCCCTCTTGGATTATAATTGGTCAGGATCTCTGCCCTCATTGATTATAATTGGTCAGGATCTCGGCCCTCTTGGATTATAATTGGTCAGGATCACGGCCCTCTTGAATTATAATTGGTCAGGATCTCTACCCTCATTGATTATAATTGGTCAGGATCTCTACCCTCATTGATTATAATTGGTCAGGATCTCTGCCCTCATTGATTATAATTGGTCAGAATCTCTACCCTCATTGATTATAATTGGTCAGAATCTCTACCCTCATTGATTATAATTGGTCAGAATCTCTACCCTCATTGATTATAATTGGTCAGAATCTCTACCCTCATTGATTATAATTGGTCAGAATCTCCCCTCATTGATTATAATTGGTCAGGATCTCTACCCTCATTGATTATAATTGGTCAGGATCTCTGCCCTCATTGATTATAATTGGTCAGAATCTCTACCCTCATTGATTATAATTGGTCGGGATCACGGCCCTCTTGGATTATAATTGGTCAGGATCACGGCCCTCTTGGATTATAATTGGTCGGGATCACGGCCCTCTTTGATTATAATTGGTCTGGATCTCGGCCCTCTTGGATTATTATTGGTCAGAATCTTGGCCCTCTTTGATTATTGTTGGTCAGGATCTCGGCCCTCTTGGATTATTATTGGTCAGAATCTTGGCCCTCTTTGATTATTATTGGTCAGAATCTTGGCCCTCTTTGATTATTATTGGTCAGAATCTTGGCCCTCTTTGATTATTATTGGTCAGGATCTTGGCCCTGTTGGATTATTATTGGTCAGAATCTTGGCCCTCTTTGATTATTATTGGTCGGGATCTCGGCCCTCTTGGATTATTATTGGTCAGAATCTTGGCCCTCTTTGATTATTATTGGTCAGGATCTTGGCCCTGTTGGATTATTATTGGTCAGAATCTTGGCCCTCTTTGATTATTATTGGTCGGGATCTCAGCCCTGTTGGATTATTATTGGTCAGGAGTGTTCGATATAGATATTATATGAACATAAAAAATTAATGCAACATTAAAAAATCTTGACAGGTATTGTAATAATATAAATGTGACCAGTTATCACAGATTTTTACATGCATGTGTCACATGTTAATACTAACAATTGTTATGACAGGCGGCCATTTTCCTGCATTACCTTTGGGTGGGGCCCTGCCAGGCAATACCAGTGCTAATCATTCTCTGGCAGGAGCTCGGCCCATCAACACTGGCAGGATTTGTTGTTCTGTTACTCCTGGTTCCTGTACAGAGCTGGATGGGCAAGCTCTTCTCTAAGCTCAGGTAGGTCAACAGACTAAAAGCATGCAGCTGTCCTTATGTAGAGAACATGACAGGCCAGGATATATAGATGAAAATACAGGTAAACATGGTAGGTCAGGTAAACGAACTATGGTTTGGAAAACAGGGTGAAAATTGAGATTTTTATATATAAGCATTGATGTGAAAACACTTGCGTCAAGTAATATTGGAATAACTTCAGGGTGAAAATTGAGATTTTTATATATAATTCAAAGCATTGATGTGGAAACACTTGTGTCAAGTAATATTGGAATAACTTCAGGGTGAAAATTGAGATTTTTATTTATAATTCAAAGCATTGATGTGAAAACACTATTGTCAAGTAATATTGGAATAACTTCAGGGTGAAAACTGAGATTTTTATTTACAATTCAAAGCAATGATGTGAAAACACTTGTGTCAAGTAATATTGGAATAACTTCAATTGGCAATGAAAGTGTCAAAAAGCACGTTAAGATAATGAATGAAAAATTTGAAAGTGATAATTATGGTTATGATTCAAATCTTCTCCAAAACTCGCTGCACACACCCAATATGATCTTTGGATGACTTGTTTTGTGCAATTTCTTAAATGATTTTTAAATCTTATTTGTTTTTTAATTGATGAGTACGTCAAATAATTATGACATTCTTGTAAAGAATTTCACAGCTGGCATGATTAGTGTGTTTGAAGTTATTTTTAAGAATGTTTGTGTTTCTTTGATTTATAGACACAAAACTGCCATTCACACCGATGAAAGAGTTAAAGTTATGAATGAGATCATTACTGGCATGCGAGTGATTAAAATGTACTGCTGGGAGAAACCTTTTGGTGAACTTGTTAGCAAGTTACGCAAGTAAGTGTCAAATTAGAAATATATTCAATTTAAAATTATGACATAAATACAATTTTTCGTCCACAGGAGAATATGATAACTCTAATTTGATATTAATATTTCTTATTGAAACTGAAACATTATCAAAGGAAATACAAACAATGTTATAGTTAAACAAGGTTGCAGGAGTTTTAATAGATTATATTGTATGTATATATTATTTACAAGGTATGATTAAAAATATTCCTTTCATGTGAAATTGCTCCTGTCTTCTCTGATATGCACTTGTTCACTAGAAATCATAATATGAACTCAAGATAATGCTAAGTAAAAATAATTCTATTCAGATGCTTCCATAGTTTTGCATGGTGTCTAAAACTTTTAGTTTCATAAATATTGTGTTAAATTCATTAGAGATGAATATAGATACTTCTTTGTTTTTTTATAAAGTAATTATGAAGTGATCAGTAATTAAAATTTGTTTTCAATTGTGAAAAAAAAAATTAGAAATTTATTTGCTTCATTTTAAAATCTAGGATGTGTATTTATGTTATAGCTTCAGGGTGTAAATCTAAAGTCATGTACACTTAACGTTTAAAATCAATCTGTTCCCTAATAGAGTGGATATGACATCAAGATGAATATGGTATTAAGTATCAGTCTTTACCATGGAAAGAAGTCAATTCACTGATTGGACAGGGTCTGTTGACAACATACTGCCTTGTAATGAAAAGATAGGTGTGTTACCATTGTACCACTTTAGATCTAAAGATTTCCATACATTTAAATGACGGATCACAACTATTTTCATTTTTAACATTATTTTTCGCAAGTTTCAAATTATTTATATTTTAGAGCACAATCTCTAAAAATACAAACATATATGAATGGTTTATGATATTTTTTGGATGACAGACAATAAAATCGATGAATCTTTTGCAACCTTGAATATTTTGTTTTTGTTTCCCTGTATGATGTTGTAGTTTATGAAACAGCCAAGAAAGACTTCTAACCATGGTCTGTATTTTACTGCCATTTCTGAAAACATTAACTCTATCTAGGTTAAATTTGAAAATGAAATTTAAAAAACTATGACTGTTAATCAGTTTATCCCTTCAGTACACTATCAATTTGAAAAAAAGAAACCTTTTTATCTAAAGTATGTACCGACAAACATGAGGTTTATGCTTTAAGAAAGAAAATATGAGATATATCCATGAAACATTAAATTGAAGTCTTTCTTTGTAAAAATTATTTATAAAATAGTTGAATCAAATTGAATTTAAAAGTGATTTGAATTTGAATTATTTCTACACCATATTTGTATATTTTGTTTAATGCCACGAAGTGATCAATATTCAGAAATAGATATCAATATCTTCTAATCAATCATAGTGTTCTCGTGACAAATTCTCCCTTGTAACTTCTGTATCATCTCCCCAAAAAGCATAATAAACTGGTCCAAAGCAACTATTGGAACAGTATATGTCTATTTTTGGGGGGATGCATGAATTGGAAATTATCAAAATTTAAAAAGAAAAATATAAAAAATGCCTTTCCATGTGAATACTCTCAAACATTTTCTCAACTAAGATGAAATTATGTTTTAAAAAAGAGAAAATACAAAAAAAAAAAAAAAAAAAAAAAATACAAAAAGTAAAATGGAATTAAATAGGACACAATTTTCAAAATTTTGATGTGATCAATAAAGTAGGGATGGGTGTGGACAAAGCTAATGTAGATTTGTGTGTATTGATATTGTGCTGTGACCTAATGTTGACAATTTAATGACATGATAAAAAGAAAAATTTACAAGAAAGTACAAAACAGAAAGTAACATTGGAAATTTAATGAATTATTGAACTCTAAAACATGTGAAATTTGCTTGATAAAGTTTGTAAATCTTTACTTTGAAGATAAAAACGATTAAAGATATTTTCTTCTGTCTATTGTAAAATCATATATTTTCATGGGGCTCAATTTTGTGATTAATACTTCCTGGACGCTTGACTTCAAGGATTAATATAGCTCAATAAATCTACTTATACAAATTTAAAATGTTCATGGACATATGAATTTAAGAGTGCATGCAAGATTGAAAAAAAAATTTTCATAACCAGTGTGCATAAATCCAGATCTTTGGTAGAATTCAATTACAGAGAAAAATCTAATGAGACCTCATATTGTCCATATCAGGTCAAATTACAGTGGCAAGATACACGCAAACTTAGAGTACTAAATCTAGAGGAATTTATTTATTTTTTGTTTATTTCATTGCACTAAATAATATAAGCCTGCTTAAACATTACACTTCCAGGACAAATTCATGATCAAAATTTACAGATATCCTAATTACAAACATCATGTGCATTGTTACTGTTTTGAGGTCGTATTCACTTAAATTTCAAGTAGAAGAAAGATGAAAGTATTAAGCTTTTGACCGATTTTAATATTTATTAAAATTTAGATGCATTTTTTTTTTTTTTTTAAAGGAAGAGTTTAAACATTCAAATTTTAGATAAATTTCCCTGTCTGCAGAAGTTGTTGATTTAGGTAGTTTTCTACTATCAAAGTTATTAATCATTGTGGTTGATAAATTGGCTCGTTGACATTTTAAAATTAGCATACCACAGGTTTGTTAAGATATAGATATGTCTAGACTAATTTATCAATCTCAAATTAATTAAAATTGTTTATTACAAATTCAGAATACAAACAAAAACATTAATTGATGGAAGTTAATTTAAGTAGTCACCATACTGAAAGGACTTTTATTTATGTAAATTAATTCAAATTATTGAGCACAAAAACAAATTCTGAGTGTTTGGCTCAACATTATATAACCATATGTGTGTACAATTAATTCAAACTCAATTTTTTCTTGGAAATGATGAAAATATTATTACTGCTTTTATTTCTGCACGTAATTGTTGAAATGATACTTAACACTTTAAACATATTCATTATATTAGGCATAACAGATGATAAGACTTATTTTTCCCCCCTTGTTTCTTTTTTCTTATTTTAATTTTTGATTCCAAAAAAATTGTCATAAATGAAAGTCAAATAAAATACATTTGGTAATCTGATAGTCATGTAAAATTTTCTGTCAATAAAATCTTCATAAATTTCATGAATTATACATGAACCAATCCAAATATGGTTATTACATGTGTTTACCAATTAAATATGAGAAATGAAAATATTAAATGAAAAATTGTAATATCTGCAAGTATTTCATTGATTATTTTTTCCTATTTTTTTAAATTGTGTTTGATTTTAGTTGTATATTTTTTATATAAACGATTTCTTATTTCTTAAGCATGTTGATTATTTTGCCAATCATTATCAAAAGTTTTCAATATTATCTAATCCTTTAAGTATGTTTACTGCATGATGCATGTTGTTTGCATGCCTTTTTCAAATCTAAATTATTGTCCAAATTTTAGAATGGTTTTTAAAAATACAAGTTATGAATGTGAATAATTTTAGCAAAATTATAGTTAAACCTGTTCATCAATGGTTAATATGATAAAAAAAAACCTCACTTTGTTTGGACAATTGCTTTGATGTAACAAGACTTTTTTTGTTAACTCTAACTCATTTTGCTTGTCACTTCTCTGCTCAGCTTGACCCATGCCTTGTTAGCTTACCTGAGTGTTATTTTAGTTACCAAACCCTAATTGTACAAAGCATTGTTTAGTTTGACCATATTGTTGATAAGATTTGATTTGGTATTGTTTCATAATTTGTTTCTATCAAATAAAAGTTTTCAAGGTGTTGTTTAGGAATTGAAATTAAACTAAAAGCATGTTCATAATAAAATCTATTACTGAAAGAATGAAATTTTCAAAATTTAACTTGTAATCTGAATGATGTTTAATTTTTTCATGTCTATGGATTATGAAAATATCTTTAAATTAACTATCAACACTGTGAAGTCATCTCTAGCTATGCTGCTGTATGCTTACCCTACACCTACTTCAAAACTGCACTATTTAATATTAATTTCTAATTAATATTACACCTGGTAAAATTTTATGGAAAACAAGAGTAAATAAAATAAGAAACATTTTTTGAGCCCAGCATCAGATACCTCATTGTGAGCCCCTGTTTACTCCATTTAGAGGCCCCTTGACAAAGACAAACATTAAATCCATAATTCTGGGGCACCATCTCTAAAGACTGACATCAGAATTCCTAATCTGTCAATTCTGGGGCACCATCTCTAAAGACTGATATCAGAATTCCTAATCTGTCAATTCTGGGGCACCATCTCTAAAGACTGATATCAGAATTCCTAATCTGTCAATTCTGGGGCACCATCTCTAAAGACTGACATCAGAATTCTTAACCTGTACCTCCCACTTTTATTGACTGGCATTAAATTGTACAGGTCTTTGATATGACCTTGATAACAAATGAAAAAGACAAATCATTACAAAACATGATGTTTCAGAAGAATGTTAAGGTAAAGAAAGATATCTCATTGTACCAATATGATGAAGTATATGTAATTTAATGAAATCGAACATGACCCATAATGAAAAAGACACAAATTTCAAAGAATATTAAAAGTATGACACATACAGGTGGGTCGTTGATTAAGACATGTCTGCTGATTGCTGGGTTATATAGAATTATTTTGAAGTTATTGGTAGTTGATCTGCTATCAGATAGTCTATAGTACTAAATATGGAAAAGAAGCAAATATGGACATATAAATTACACTTCAATTTATTCTTTTTCATTTCAACCAAATTTTCACTATCTAAATATGTGAGGGATTAGATGGCACTATTTTAGTTGAGAACAATATATTATGCTAATTACATTTAATCAAGACAAGCAACATGCAAGACTTGATATACATGGACCTAGTTAAAGGAGATGGTAGTGTTTCACAGCAGAACATATCAGTCTGCCTTTTGATTGGCTAAAACTAAGATGGATGTGATATTATATTTTGTATTATTTTGGGAAAATTACCATTATAATTTTAACAGGCATGACTTCTTATA